AAAAGTAAATAAAACAAAGTAAAATAAAATTGTTTTCCTATTTTTGTTCTTATTAAGTTTACAAATCTATTTTCCTCTATATGCGCAATTTTTTTTTAGTAATAAGTTTTCCCCTACATGTTTTCTTTTTTTTTTTAATTTATTTATTTATTTATTTGTGTGTGTGTGTGTGTGTGTGTGTGTGTGTGTGTGTGGCCAGCTCAGCCCACCAGGGGGTGGGGCTGGCTGGCATGTGGTGCTGGGGGATCGAACCGCGGTCCCTTTGCTTTTGCTAAGCTTGTTCTAAGTAGGTGCTTCAGACCACTGAGCCATCTCACCAGCCCTACATGTTTTCTTTAAATGTGTTTACAACTTTTTTTTTTTTTTTTTTTTTTGCAGAACCGGGGATTGAACTCAGATCCTTGCACTTTCCAGGCAAGTACTTATTCTACTAAGCAATCTCCCCGGCCCCTGTGTTACAACTTGACGTGAAAACTTTTAATTATAAAGATATGGAGAGAGCCAGGGAGATGGCTCAGTGGAATAAGTGCTTCCCTGGCAAGCGCCAAGGGCCAGTTCAATCCCCGGTTCCGCCAAAAAAGTAAATAAATAAATAAAGATATGGAGAAGCTGGATGGTTTATTAGAAATCTTGTATGTCACAGCCAGGCATTGTGGTACATACCTATAATCCCAGCACTTAGGAGGCTGAGAGAAGGACTACCACAAGTTCAAGGCCACCTTGGCTACATAGTGAGTTCAAAGCTAGCTGAACTAAATAATGAGACCCTATCTCAAAAATAAATAAATCATGTAGGTCAATATCTATTAAACTTTGTATGGAAAAAAGATTTTAGTGGACTGGTGAGATGGCTCAGTGGTCTAAAGCACCTACTTAGAACAAGCTTAGCAAAGCACAGGGACTGCGGTTCAATCCCCCAGCACCACATGCCAGCCAGCCCCGCCCCCTGGTGGGCTGAGCTGGCCACACACACACACACACACACACACACAAATAAAATTTAAAAAAAAGATTTTAGTATATTTAGTTCGCTTGTTCATAAAATTCCAATATCAAATAACCTCAAAAAGGTGACATTAAAGGAGTGAGCTAAAGTACTGGCTAGAGTTAGAGACTATGGTTGATTTTTAAAATTATACTTAGTATATTTTCCACTGTGTTTATGGGAGGAAAGTATATTAACGAGGTTATGTTTGTGTTGAATGCATGGGTCTGCTGTCTTAGCCTGCATATACACAAGGGAGGAAAAGCTACCTGCTGACTTTCTCATAAAGTATTTCTGAGACTTCTCGAAGCAGGTGTCTCCCACATAGTCTAAACACATTCATGCACAGTGCATCTTTTCAGTTTCTGGATAGACCCATTTCACATAAGCTGTGATAAGTATTAAGAAAGTTCTTGTCAAAGTCTTAATTCTCCAGTTTGGGAAAATACGTTTTGTCATTCTTCTAGGATACATCCTCACAGGGTTCAGGTCAGTGCTAAGTAGGTAATTTATGAGGGAAGTATAAAAAACGCTCTAGTAAAGTATATACTCATATCAAAATATCTTTTTTCTTATTATTTTCTTCCATCATATATACTTTACAATATCTCAATTGAACCTGACTATGTTTATCACTTTCTCATTGCTTGGACAAAATACCCAACATCTCCAACTTGAGGAGAAAGTTTTATTTTGGCTCAGCCTGTAGTCAGGTAGCTCCAAGACAGAACAACCATGGTGGAAGGGAATTGCAAGGAAAGGTACTCAACCTGTGGCACCCGAAAAGCAAAGAGAAAGGCAAAAGGGAGACTCTAGGAACAAGATCACACCCTTCCAGGTACTACTCCTCGGTGACTCATGTCTTCTAACCAGGCCACACCTCCTAACAGCACTGTAATCCATCAGAAGGTACAGAGCCCCCATGATCCAGTCAGTTTCCCAAGGCCCACCTCTACTTGGTGAGACTTCAGAGGACATTTTAAATCTAAACCATAATATTAACCTGACAGCTCAGTTGCACTCAGATTGTGACTTGCCTTCTCTTTTATAAAAGTTGTGGGTTAGAGGAAGAGCATAAAGCAGATCTTTAGTTCTTCCAGTGTAATGAGCCCAGTTCCCCTTCTCTTGCTATTGTGAATACAATCCCCGGTACCGGTACTGCAAAAAAAAAAAAAAAAAAAAAAAAAAAGCTTCTTTAGGGCTGGGGAGATGGCTCAGTAGAACAAGCGCTTCCCTGGCAAGCGCAAGGGCCTGAGTTCAATCCCTGGTTCCACCAAAAAAAAAAAAAAAAGAAAGAAAATTTGAATAGCTTGTTCACCTGTACCTCAGCAGAAAAAAGGGAAAGCCTAAAAGAACATTCATGATGAGACTGGGACCAGGCAATGTGGGATTCAGTAAGTATGTATTAATGAAAAGGCATCTTTTATAGCAAAATTGTAAGATTTCTTGTGTTTATCAGTTTCTCAATATCGTCTTCAGGATTAGGGTTGCTGATGAATATCCCCCAAAGACTGATTTTTTAACAACCCTACCAATCATATTTATATGCTTTTTCTACCCTGTCAGTTTGGCTGAAAAAGTAAACAAAAATAATATACTTTACTTGCACCCCTTCTGTTTATATCCATGCTATACTCATTTCTAGAAATGTAGGTGCACTTAACACTTTCTTTTCTTCACATTGAGCTATGTCTTCATTCTTTTTTAATGGTTATAGAAGACAGGATGTTGCTAAGTAACCCAGCCTAGGCTTGAACTTCCACTCCTCCTGCCGCCCCCTCTCATATTGCTGAGATTACAGGTGTGTCCCACCATGCCTGGCTACACTTTACACATTTAAATGAGTGGTTGGGCACACTTTTGTTCTAAAAGTGATTTGATGCCTATATTTGATAGTCTGAGCAACAAATTTGATAGCAATATGTAATATAATAACCATTAATCTCCTATTCTTGTTTTGAAATTGTATACCATTTTTGTTTTATGTTGCTTTATTTTTGTTCTTGTTAATTGTGTTTGTTTTTTCTCTTTAAAATAAAATTTTTCTTAAAAGAAAAGAAAAAATAAATGCTCACTCTTTAATCCACACACACAAAAAGAGTTGAAGCACAAGAATTATTTATACCTCTTTGATTTGCCTTCTCTTTTATAGATCTCTTTCCCTTCCATCTTCTTTCTTTGTGCCTTTTTATATCAGGCAGCACTTTCTTTCAATCTTCTTTGATGTTATTGGTAGCCATTGTGGCTGAGAAAGTGAAGCCTATCTGAGAGTAGGTCAGTTCATTCCCACTGAAAATAGCAACCTCCTTGGGAAGCGCACTGCAGTGGGAAGATGACTTCATGTGCCTGTGAGGTGCTGGTTAAGTTGTGTCTTTTTAGTTACTGTTCCTTCCTCATGATAGCCTGCTTTCACCTTTATCCCAGTTTATTTGGAAAACTTCATCTTACGAAGATCCCCTTGAAAAGCTCAAACGCTATGATTGCTTTTGTACTCATCCAGCTCTTCCAACTAGTTTGTTACTCCCACTACAGATTTGTGTCACACCTCTTTAATACCCCAGGAAATATATTTCTTGTTTGTTCACATGTCTACAGAGATGGAGCTTTTCAAGAGTAGGACTAGCATGTTCTTATTTTGGTAAATGTCTACTATTTATTCTTCATTGGATAGGCTATATTCCCTGTTTTCAAGGACTTCACTGCTTACTACAGATGATTACAAATCACAGATAATTATGGTACAAATTAAAATGCAGTTATTCCCACTGAGAATGAAGAAGTCACTTCTTGGGCCAGGCCAGTGGCACTGTGCCTAACAAATGCAGGGTCACAAGTTCAAGTTTCAGTACCAAAAAAAAAAAAAAAATCTCACTTCTTGCTATATGACTTAGTGATATCTGTGTTATTCCAGGCCTGTGGTTGGGCTTGAAGAGTGAATGTGAAACGTGGAATTACTAGTATGTAGTTTTTTATGTCTTGATCTCTTCATCAGCAATAATTTAAAGTTCGTGTCATTTCACATGTATTGAAGAGCTTTAAATACTTTACTTAGAGGTAAAGTTCAAGGGCTGGCCAAATAATTCAGCAGATTAAAGTGCCTGCTTAGGCATACTCAGGGGCAGGGAGTTCCATCCTCCGGCCTGCTGTGTTGGCCCCACCCCCGGGGCATGCTGAGACAGTGACTGAGACTGGGCATGGTGGCCCATGCCTGTAATCTCAGCATTTAGGAGGCTGTAAACAGGAGGATCAGTACAAGTCTGATCTATGCAGTGAGACCCTGTACACCCTGTATTCCCTGTCCTAAATA